TGAACTGTTGGAGCTTTATCCAGAAGACGACTACACTAGTGCTGGTCTACGGTTCGCTGACATGAAGCAGTCACTCGATCTAACAGCAAAGAACCTCGCGCTCACAAATGCATTGAAGAACACGACCTGGAACGCCGAATGTGCTCTCGGCTCGGCCACGCACGGTGCTGACCAGAGTTACTACTGGTACAGTACGTACACGCTCTCCACGAGCTCCAGCATCTCGAGACGCGCTCAGGCTACTGACTTGGCGAGTTCGTATTATGCCAACGTGTCGGCTGCAAGTGCAGGTATCGGAAGCGCTCTGGAAGGATCTTTTGGTGGAATGGCTGGAGCTGGTGGTGCCGGTGGTGAGTCGTCCGTGAACTCGACGATTGCTATCATGATGCAGAAGTATCTGCTGTCTTTCGTGATCACTGGAAACCCGAATACAATGTGGCCCGATGATAGGCTGTACTGGCCTCAGTACAACGAATCCAGCGTGGGCACGGAAATCGTGTTTAACGACACGTTCACGGTTGCCGACGACGACCTCGCCAACTCGAAGAGCCTCTTCTGGAACAAGGCGTTGTGGTACTAGGTGAGTGACGGATGGAGAGCAAGGGAAGCGCAAGTTTTCTTCTTTTCTGAGTGAGTACTAGGCATCGTTAATAGCCCCACAGCTGCGTGGTTATCGAGATCCAATTGCATTTGCGTTTTGTGTGAACACTGTGTGCTATTAAATAAGAAGTGGAAGCTGGTATAGCATGAGAAATGTTCACTACGTTTGACATTCCGTGTACTAAATGCCAAAGTTGTTGTGATAACTTCGTAGCTTTGCGAAGTTGAAGTGGACAATTGAAGTGGACAATATGGAAACGTTTTGAGGCGTGTGATTGGTCAGTCCACTTCAACTTGACTCGAGTGCACTTTTGCCCTCAGCGAGAGTGACAATCCATTGTCAATGGGTGTGTATGTACATTGCATAGTGCTTCCGATTAGTAGGCCACACCCTCGAGTCCCGAGAGCAATCACTTCGATTACTATTGCCTAGGGACACGTACCCATCATCTCCCAACGCCCCCACAGCGGCAAATTAACGACCGAGCAAGGGCAACGCATTAACGCCGCCGCGCGTTGCCAAGCAACCGTCATGACCAACCGAAATTTAGCCCTGTTGCGATTTGAACGAGACGCGTCCGCCGCCACCAAAGCCGATCGACGATCTCCGCTCAGCCATCTGTTTGCGGTGACGAACTCTGCATGACACGTATGGTCTTTGCGTCATTCGATTGGTTGAATAAGAGAACATGGATGCGGCAGTCCATTATGCCATAATTTATGGTGCACTTCTCGCAGCTATCCGGCAGCACCGCCTCAAAGACCAGGTTCGCTCCGCTGCCACGCTCGTCGCTCATTCCCGAATCGGAAGCATCGATCAGCTTCAGCCCCGACCGTTGCGACGTCAAGAAACGGCCAAAAATTCCGCTCTGAGTCAGAGTCTGAACGGTCTCTCTGCAGTTCTCACTCCTCCTCCAGCTCGGTATGTTCCAGTTCTACGCGTCCGACGGCCCCAAGCTCGACGAAAAATCGACCGATATTGAGCGCCACCGCGCTCGTCATCGCCGCATGTGCCGCGGACAACAGCCGGACGCAACGCCCAGTCCACAGGTCGAGGACTTGGACATGGACGACGGACGGACACGCAAGATCTCGGCCAAGTGGCGACAGCAAACTCAACAACAGCAAGTTCCAGTCAGCAACCAGTTCCACGACGCGGAGATGCATTTTGGCTTCAACGCCTTCGACTTCTCAGCGTCGCCTGAAGCTTTCCACGAAGCAGAAGAGCAGCAAACGGAAAGTAAAGCTCCTCCTTGTCAGAACAACCAGGATGCCACTGATAAGAACGCAAGTTTATGGGAACGAAGATTCCCAGATCATCGACAGCCTGGAAATCCAGTCAAACAACTACCGACGTTAGGGCAGGACGCACTATGGGGAGGTCGCGTGCACTACATAACACAGGACGCACAACGACAAGCTCTATACTACCAGCCACAATACTACGCATAAACTTCATCACCTAACTGTAACATACCTAAATGAAGACCTAAAGGGAAGATACATTCATTTAAGGCATTTTCTCGCCTACTCAGCGTTAACGAGGGCAGGTTGTTTACGATGCATCACTGATGCAAGGTACACGATAAGCACTACCAAAAAGGCAATAACGGCATGACGAGGGTCTTCTTGCACCCACGCAAGCAAAGACCCGTCCTTCTCGACGAGATCCTCATCGCTATCGTATTCTTCGACTTCTTCGTCAACATCCTCGACCTGCACAGTCGACGCCAGGCTGGTTACAACGCCACCATTCATCTTGGCATCATGCTCGACACTAGAACGCCGTTCACTGTGTAACGCACTGGCAGAGGATCCACTCCTATCGCCTCGGTTGGGTAGCATGTCCCTTGTGCTACTGCTTCGTCGTCGAAGCTGAGAGAAGTTGGCATCCCAAGACGTCCAGTTGTCTGTAGACCCAGCATGACGCCGCACTTTGCTCGCGTCGGTGAGAGATTCCAGCCACTCTTCGCCTTCGTAGATCGTCTCTGTCCTTAACGCGAGAATCTCACCGTTTGGCTTGATGATGGCGATCCGAATGCTGTCGTTCTCACCTTTTTCCAGCGCGAACCGGGCGATATCGGGACCGCTATTCGCCGTGATCTCGACAACCTCGCAACGAGTAAGTTCCATCATGTCACGGTACTTACGAGAGCGTTTGTGGGAATAATACGAAAACAGAGTGCCGTCCAGTCTGCACCAGCGTTTCGACCAGCGTGAAGGCACCATTGTGACCTCCTTGGCGCCTCCTTTTTCAGCATTTCGTTGTAGTTTGCGCTTCTCGAACGAAATCGACAGATAGCCGACTTTTACGCGGTTCTCGGGTTTTTGACGTTTGTAGTTCTCTCGTAAGGCTTGGATTTCGTCGTGATAAGTGTGTACGAGGTCGTCTCGAGCGAGATCTAACAGGTTTGGCACACGTTCCATCAGCTGAGTGCGCGCTGTCGGTGCGATCGCGTGGAAGCCGAAGATCAAGCTCTCTAAAGCCAAATAAAATGGAGGAGGAGGCAGTGTTAGCTCCAACTCAGTGGGACGGAAGCTACTAGTGTGTGCGAGAGTAGTCTCGCCTGAAGAGCCCGTACGAGACATGCTTGTAACTGCAGAGTCACTGCTTCCAGTACTGTGAACGATAGTCTCATCACTTGAAGATACAGACGCAACCGAGTGGTTAGTCTTCTTATCGTCCTTGAACGATCCACGTTTCTTCACTCGTAAGATTAGTTTTCCATCGGGATAAATCGAGAATCGTGCTTCATCTTTCGGACACAATTCAATCTGCTGATGTTGTGGATGTGCGGTATCCCAGAGCTCCACCAATTTATCAAGAGGCTGCTTCACGTCCTCAAACGAAGAGACCAAGGAGCTGAAGCGAGTGTCGAAGTACTCGAGTAAATGACGAAGCTTCATCTTGGCGTCCACTTTGAAGACCAGATGCTTCTGGAACTTGCCATGTGAGAATTGGTGGAAGTAGTCCGTGTCTTGGACAATACTGCCGATGGAGAGGCCCTTGTACTTCAGAAGACTTTCAGTAAGAGCACCGGGATCCACATACAAACCCACCGTGAATCGGTATTGGTGAGATCCGTAGGGTTCGTCGTATTCCTCTGGTGACACTGAGAACTCATGAGCCCACGTCCCCAATAACGCACTGCCGTCAACCACCAAGTCACCACTAAACATGACGCTACTGTCTCGATCCACCATCGGTCCGAAATGCACCATGAGGCTGCGACTCTCGCGACGCAACATCTCAAGCTCTTCGTCGTCGTATTCAGCCCACTCGTCCTTGGTTGAAGGCTGTCGGTGCATCTTAGGAGGACCAAGATGACTGTTTCTCTTGGCTCGACTGCTCTTACGTGGCTTAGTCACCTGCTCTTCTTCATCGTGAGGTTTCTCTTCGTTCTCCAGTCCATCTTCCTGTCTTTCTTGATGATCATGATCTCCATGTTCAGCAGTACCAAAGAGATCTTCAGCCTCGCTGTCATCGTCACTATCATCATCACCTGAGTCCGAATCGTCATCGTCATCACTATCCAAGCTTTGAATCCTTTCATGAAGACTGCCGAAGATCTCGTCTTGAGCATCGAGCACTTCTCCGCCCCAAAGCGACGGCAAACGCTCCACCAGTCCGCGTTTTGCATCGTGCTGGATCGAGTTACTGTCGAAGAACAGTGCCTGGATACATTTACAAAGAGCATGGGATGCAATCGGCGGGTACAACTGACCGCGTAGTCGGTACTCAAAGCGGTCGTCCTCGTGGACCCGCATGACCATGGACTCGGCTTTCTTGAGAGATTTCTCAATGAACCCGAGGAAGGTGCCCACTGCTGCAGCATTAGCTCCCATTCGAGGGGCCAATTCGTCTCGTAGCAGCGCCGTAAGCACGGATTTGGACACACGCTTGCGCGCTGTGACGACAAAGCTACGTCGGAATGTCGTGTGGAACAGCAGATGGTCGTAGAACTGTTGGTCTCCGTATAAACTCTTGGCATCTCGTCCATGGAACTTCTCCAGCTCTTTCGTTGCCGTCTCTGGGTCGATGTACATGCCTACAGCCAAGATCCGCTCGTCCGTCCAGCCCATACGACGCACAATAGGCCCCACACCAACCAGCAAGTCTCCGTTAGCTAGACTGGGAGGGAATGTGATCCGAGAGTACATCTCCTTCATCGGTCCGTACGTCATTCGAGACTCTAAGATCGGGATCACGTCTTCTCCGAATGAATCTCGCTTCATGCTGCCCACATGCTCGTTATCCAGCACATTGTGCGCCATCACGGGGGTCGAGACTCCTCCCCCGTCCACAAGGTCCGCCATCTCCATCGAATTGCTCTGATGTACGAGTAAGTTACTTGCACTACTGTCATGATCCAGGCCATCATCCCCCAGATCGGGGATAGGCAGGTACGTGGGTTTCGCTCTGCGCTCGGCCTTGTTGTCTGCCGGTGCCTGCTCCACGCTGGCGTGGAAGACGTCACAGAAGACGTCGATCCACTGGTGTCTCTCTCGTTCGGTGGCAGCAGCCAGTGTGAGCTTCGTGTCCTTGATAAACAGCAGGAAGCCGAAAGGTTTGGGCTCGCTGCACATGCGGATGGTGATGGGCGTGTGCGGCGTGAGCGGGATGTCGCCCTTGCGGTTGCCCTTTTGGCTGAAGTATTGAAGACGCGTGCGCTCCAGAACGAAGTCCCGCCACTTCCACGTGAACAGACGACGGTCGCGGCGCATGAGTTTGCCTAGTAGCAGCACCCCGCTGCCGGGCGGGGACGTGTTGGCCGCGTGCATGGGCAGCGTGGAAGGGTTCATCTGTGGCGTGTCCAGCGCTGAGGCGCTTGTCGCGGCCGTGGAGGAAGAGGTACTAGGAGCAACATCGTCTCCGTCCGAGCGCCTCATGTTCGTCGAGTTGTTGCGCGTAGTGTATACGCACGAGGAAGAGCAGGAGCGACGACAAGTGCTCAGTGCGGCGTGGCAATCCACTGCGATGCCACTATCGGAGAGTGACTCACTGTTCCAGATACGTATGTGGCGACGGAAAGTAACGTTATGAAGTGGGTTACTTTGTTTAACTACTTTCCAAAAGTAAGTATATTTTTGCTACTTCTCTTTCAAATTTGAATAGTATTCGTTATGGCGGGAGAAGCGACGGAGGTGACCGAGGCGCAGACTGTGCCTGCAGAAGAGCAGCCGGCGCTGCGCTATTCGTTCCTGGAGATCAAGGAGGCGCAGCGCGTATGCGGTGAGAAGATGAACGCAGCCGCGCTCAAAGAGTGCAGTTCTGCTTCCGCAGCCCAGCAGCAGATCTTCAAGGCGCATGTAAACGACCTGTGTGCGACGGTATTTGCAGCGGCGCTCAGGAAATACAACCCTGAAGACAAAGGTGTGTGTAAAAGTGATGGTATATAGAATTGAATGTCATTTTGTTGCTGATTTCTATGTGTGGTGCAGAGGAGGTGGCGCCTGTGGACGAGGAGACGGTGGCCAAGCTGAAAGAGCTGGAAACGAAGCTTAAGGAAAAGGAGGCGGCTGTCAAGAAGCTCCGGGAACGAGTACGCGATAAAAGAGTGATGTTCATTGGGATCGCTAGTTGCTGACGTGGTGACTATTGCAGGTGCCGAGGATGGCAGCGGCCAATGCCCGTCGAGAATTGGCGAAAGCTCGCAAACGCCACGCTGATGTGCTCGTGTCGTACGTTGGGCTTTGATTCTACTGTTCATTTTTATTTAAAGTTGAGATAAGGAGGTTGACGTGAATGCTGGTGATACAGGGAACCGGATTTGACGGGGGATATTGGTGCGGAGCTGACGGAAGAGCAGCTGGAAACACTGAAGGCCGCCTACGTGAAGGTTTGTTGATTGTTTGGCATGTACAGTGACAGGAGGTTGGCTGATGATAATTGTGTGTGCTGTAGACGGCGTCTTCGATTGCTATTACGAGTGCGAAGCTGTCGCAAGTCATGGAACAGACCACCGAGACGATCCACATTGTACTACATGGGCTGCTGCTGTTGTTAGAAAGGATCGCTTATTAACTTGTTGGTTGTAATGCATTGGATATTGTGCTGTCAGGTGGAGAAGGCGATGAAGCGGCCAAAGACGGAAGTGGATATCGCAATGGAGAACAGTCCGATGAAGGCGAAAGCATTTCTCAACGAGCAGGTAAGCATAGCAAGTTGAGGATTAGTCGGAGGGGTTGCATTCCTGCATGCTCATTTTTTTAATGTGTCAACAGGAAAAGAACAGTCTTCAGCAGCCATCTCCTCTTCGTACACGGCTGGCATTGCAGTTAAGCGCCTCCAACAACGTGTAGTATCAATAAATTTGTTTTCGTTCGCTGTGATTTGGTGGCAGTCCGCATTCTATACTCCCCAAGACACTAGACCTGCCTTGACTTTGCGATTGTGACGTTGAATCGACGAAGGTTGGGCAGGGAGCGCTGGCAAGTGGCTACAGGTGCTGCTGTGTCGCAGGAAGCTACATTGAAAATGGTACAGGACTGGTACACAACTTCAACAAAAGGGGTTCAACTAAAAGTTGTCCGAGGTATGCGAGAACTTGGAGTCCATTCTCTCTCTTCCTCCTTCGATAGTACTACTAATATTCCCCGCTCCATGTCTAGAGTGATCGAATCTGGTGAAGTGCCTTCAGGAAAACATGCGAGACGATGGCTACACAGAGTTGCATACGAAATGGCACAGTGTACCCATTTGAATCCACGTTGCTGGTTGTCATGAAGGCCGGATGCTGCTGTGTACGAGACCAATAGATGGCGATGGTTGATCTCCATTCCGCTTTTTGCGCGCTTCGATATACTGTCCTCTAAAACCAGACCACCTTCAACTTTACTTGCAGTCATGACCATCACCAAGGGGGTCACAAGCGTGATGTTCGAACAGGACGCTACCAACAAACCTCAATTGATCCGCATGGATCAGCGTTTCTCGAGTTCCAGCTACGATTTTAAGCGAAAAGCGTCGACGATAGGGTGGTGGACTACCATGGAGCATGAGAAGTTCCTCGAGGCTCTCGAGCTGTACCCGTCCGGTCCATGGAAGAAGATTGCACACCACATAGGCAGCAGAACACCTCGCCAAGTGATGACTCATGCACAGAAGTACCGGCAACGGATTAAGCGCCGTGACAATAGCAAATCGCGTTCCAAGAGCAAGGGTGCGTCATCGAAAGTGGTCGACGAGATTATGCCAACTCAAAGCCCGGTTGTCAGAGGAGAGGGCGACATGCTGTCGGAAGTGCTGCAGTTGGAGCCGTTGCCTCTTTTGCAAATCTGTGAGAGCGAGATAATCGAGCTACCGAATGAAGAGGTTTTAGCGCTCGACGAATCACTTCTCGATGAACTGCAACAACTTGTCGCTCCTGTTGACAATGCAATTTTGGAGCCGGTGGACTTGAGTGGTGACGAGTTAATAGAGCTGGTTGACAGTGTAATCGATTGGACTCCTGTGATCGCATCCAGCTGTATGCTACTTTCGTAGTGAAGACCCGGCGACAATATTTGGCGTGTCGTTCAGAAATATCTTTCAGCAGTAGCTTTACAGAGTTACGTAGCGTAAAACATAAAATTTCCTTGATCCTTTCATACACTATCTCGCATTTGACTACACTCTAGAATGTCTGGCGGTCGCTGTGCTCAAATACCGTTAAATGAGAGCCGAGCTTTTCTATTCCTTGCACTTACTCCTGCTTGTTTTTAAAACTAAATACTACTTGCAGCTTACTTTGAAACGGTTGCTGTTTATAGTTGATACATGTCTGCACAGGTCTTTTTGCTTGTTTCCTCAACGCCATGGCCCCAATCCATCTCAAGTCTCGACCGCATCAAGTGGTAGCAGCAACCTCTCGACGACACATTAGTGTTTTTCAAGCTGCCCTGTGTTTTTCGTGCTTGGTGTTGGCGCTGGACGCGTGTCTAACCGAAGGAACGGAGATCATTTTCCTCTTGATTCACTTTTTACTATCGTACCCAGCTCGATTTGTAGCATTCTACGAGCCTAAAGTGATGGCATTAGAGATTATGATGAAAGATACAATCGAGCGAATGGAGATCTCAGAGCAAGTGAGCGACGCGTGGGACTTTACTGTGGCTTTAATCACCCTGGTTTGTGTGCACAAAGTTATTGAGACAACCAGGACATCCATCGTCAGTCGACTAAAGACTTCAGCAGACACAAGTAGCAAGTAATAGCGGTAATCAAACAATCAAAGCTGAAACTTGTTGAAATGATCTGCACTGTATCACACACGCACACTGCATTATCAATCTTGTACAAACCACTTGTGTTGTTTTGTTTTACTCCTCCAGCACTTCTGCAGCACGGTACATTTGCAAGAGGAGTCCCAAGACAGCGATGCCAAGTGAGATCAATGCATACGCCGCAAGCGCAATGAGCGAGTTGGGAAGGGGTTTCATCAGCAGCATCACAATATTCAGCGCCGAGTTGGTGTAAGGCATGTACCGCTGAGGTGCATCCATCATGGCGTATCTGACCAGAACACTCTTCTTGTGCGAGAACGCGTCAAACGAGTATTTTCCGTGGTACGAGCCCATGCCAGACGCCCCCACGCCACCGAACGGAAGGTTGAAATTCACCGACTGCACAATGCTGTCGTTCACACATGCACTACCGGAACTGGTCTGCTCCAAGACATGCGTGCGAACCTTGTAATTCGACGTGTACACGTAAAGCGCCAATGGTTTCTCGCGGTCGTTCACGAAGTCAATAACCTCATCCAGTGTGTCATAGTACACCACAGGCAACAGAGGACTAAACATTTCTTCTTGCATGACAGCACTGCGTGTAAACGCGTCCATATCCTTCCTGAAATTGAGCAGCGTCGGCGCCACAAACTGATCTTCTCTGTCCTTCTCCCCGCCAAACACGATATACTCTGAATCTTTCTCCAAGGACTCAGCCACACGATCAAAGAACTTATGTGTAATCAGTCGTCCGTATGACGCGCTCTTCTGTGGGTCTTGGCCGAAGAACGCCGTGATCTCTTTCTGAATCGCTGCGACTAATTTGTCGCCGATCTTGGCACTAACCATCACGTAGTCTGGACGTAGACACGTCTGTCCTGCGTTCATGAACGCCGCCCACGTGATGCGTCGCGCTGTGACTGCAATATCACACGATTCGTCTACAACAGTGGGGGACTTACCACCGAGTTCCAATATCGTGGGCGTCAGTGTCTTGGCTGCAGCTTCTGCCACGATCTTGCCAATTGTGGAGCCGCCAGTGCACATTATCAAGTTGAATTTCTGCTGCAATGTGGTCTGTGTAGCCATTTTGCCGCCATGCACCACTCGCACGAAGCGTGGATCCATGTACGTCAACACGAGCTTGAGTAGCAACTCGCTCGTGTGCACACATGTGTCATCCGATGGCAGTCTCAGTAGCACGCAGTTACCAGCGCTCAATGCGCCGACCAGTGGAAGCAGTGAGAGCATTGCAGGGTAGTTCCACGTCGATAGAATGCACACGACGCCCAGTGGCTCGCGTTGGATGTAGGAGCGGCCTGGCAGGTTGGCCAAGTTGGTCCACACGCGCTCGGGCGCCGCCCAATTCTCCATTTCCTCCTCGTGCAGCGATATTTCGCCACGGATAGGCGCTATTTCCGAGATGAGCGTCTCAGCTGGAGGCTTGCGCAGATCCTGGAACAGCGCGTCCTGCAGCTCACGCACATTCTCGTTCACCAGTCGTCGTAGCTGCTTCAGCTGCTGTAGGCGCATTTTCAAGTCCCGTGTGGTGCCGCTGCGGAAGGAAGCGCGGAGGGCTTCGACCGAGGCGACGATATCGTCGGAGGCTGTGGGGGGAACTCGCGTGGTCTCGGCCATTGTGACGCAGAGGTGGTAAGTTGCGTTGTGTGGGTTTTGACGAGTAGCTCCGATACTTCAACCACGTCATGCTAGTCGTATCCGATATCGGTTTGGAGAGGGAATGCCTCTTGGTAAACATCAAGGCACCCTGGAAGTTTATCCTAATCCTGGATACTTGCCGATAAAGATGCCGACCAAGAAGCTTGCTATTTGAACGAGTGCTACAGTAGTCTTGTTAAGCGTTGACGATACGAAAGTTCACGGTTCCCGAGAACATGTTATTGTTGATGGAACCGCTTCTACGGAAATGTTACTTGGGTTTACTGGACGAGAACGAAAACGAGTATGACTTTAGAAGCGATAGCAGTCCAAACGCATATCTAAGTGCAATAGGACCTGTTGATAACCGTGCGCAATACTGCTGCTAATAGCTGTTTTCCCTTGACATTTATTCAGTCTTCTTCGATTTCCCAAAAATTCATTCCCTGGTGTGACTTTTCCATTAATTTTCAGGATAAAAATAACCAGCGCATTCGTCGCTATTTTCGGTCTCCAAGCCCAGAACGCGCTATCTTTGACCCATCAATCGCTTCGTGCTGCTCCCCTCCGCTCACTTCGGAAGCGCTCGCCCCTCGCCATGAACACCAGCAACCCGTTCCAGGACCCGTCAGTGCTGCGCGCTCAGTCTCCCGCCTCGCCGAGCATGAATTTCTCGAACATCTCGGCTCCAGAACCCGTGTCGACTGCGGGCGGAGCAGTACCATCCTCGTACCAGGCGGCTGGTGCTCCGCGGCAGAACCTCATGGACGAGATTGGCGCGCAGATCAAGGCCACCAACAGCCAGACGATCATTAAGGTCATGCGCCTACTGAATCTGGTGCTGGCCACGGCCACCATCGCGGTGGGTGTTCTCGCCTGGATCTTCGGCCAGGTGGACACTTTCCAGAAGGTTATCGCGGGCATCTACATCATGTAAGCGGCAATGATTGAAAAGTAGAATGGCGAAAGGGATACTGACTTATGTATCGCAGTATGTTTGGCGCGCTGTTGCTAGCGTTCGAGCTGCGCACCGAGAAGGTGGACGTGATTCTGCGCAAGAACTTTGGCTTCATGTACGGCAACAAGACGCGCACCATCTTCCTCGTCTTGTACGCTGTGTCTGACTGTTATGTGTTAGGAGTGCTTGTACTGATAACTGACTCTTGTTGCCTTTGCAGTATTGCGATCTGGCCGCTGTCAATGGGCAACTTCTGGCTCACGATTCTGGATGCCGTGCTCCTGTTCCTCAACGCCTTCTTCAACTACTTTGTCATCTCGCAGCACCCAGCATTCTCAACAGTGCCACCCGTGTACGACCCCAACCAGCCGCAGGCTGGCGGCTACGCGCCCGCGCCGCACACGAACGTGTAAGCAGACAAGTGACGGTATGTCATGGCCGCAGCACCTAAGTTTTATTTGCAAAGTATATATCTTTTTTTTTCTTCATCTGGTCGAGCTAAATGAGCTCTTCATCTGTGTACCCATATCTGAGATCTATATGGCTACTTCTGTCGACTTATCCTTCCCTTAAATCACCATTCTGTCCTAAATCAAACAAATAGTGTCGACAAAAACACACAAAGTCGACAATAAGGCTGACAATTGCCCAAACCACAAAAACAAAGCAAGATAATGCAGGAGCCCGGTGGGGGATCGTCGTCCTCTTCGGGGCGAAGCAAGCTCGAGCGTAAGAAGGCTCGCCTTAATCGGCGGAAGATCGCGGCCGAAGCGGAGCGCGATGCGTTGGCTCGAGAGCAGGAGGCTACGCGTGTGGCGGCCATCAGTCGCAGTCGTCTGCGTCGTCTGCCGCCGTGGCTGCCCACTTTGCCGTCCACCAACTCGGAAGATGCCGCTGTGCTGCGAGATCTCAACGACGCTACGCGACCCGTAGCCCTCCGTGTTGGCCAGGAGATGATGCGCTATTGCGTCTACACGCAGCGCGTGGTAGATGAAGCTCGGCAACATATCGATGCTGCCATTGCGCATATCACCGAAAGTGTGCGCAAGATCTGGCCGCACGCTTCAGTCACGTGCTTTGGCTCATATTCCACGGGTCTGTGGCTGCCGTCCAGTGACGTTGATGTAGTGGTTATGGGGTTATCCAACTCCGAAGACCGAGACGTTCCTACTCAATTCATCCCGGATGGAGTTAAAGAGCTCGAGCAATTGGCAAGACAACTGCGACCGCAAAAGAGCTGGGTACAACGCGTGGATGTCGTGAGGGGCGCCAAAGTCCCTGTGGCTAAGGTGATTTTACGCCGTGGTAGTCAGAAGGAGGGAGAGAACTCGGCGCTACTTAGAGTGGATGTCTCGATCGAGAACGTACAGACTAGTCACGGAATGGAGGCCAGCAAGCTCGTGCGTGAATATGTGAGTGATCTGCCGAGATTGAAGCCTTTATTGATGGTACTGAGGCAGTTCTTAAGGGAAAAGGCACTAAATAGTGCGTTTACCGGAGGATTGAGCTCGTACGCAGTCACGCTACTAGCGGTGTTCATGATGGAAATGCAGAGACATCAAGAGGACGATAGCGACGATGCAGACGAAACACCAAAAGATGAGGAGGCGAGAAAACTTGGACAGCTGCTGCTGGACTTCTTGGAGTACTACGGCACGTTGTTCGACTACTACACCACCGGACTGTCGCTCAAGCCGGAGGCTTTTGGCGCATACCCTCTAGCAGCTCACTTGTCAATCGCAAATGGTTTACCTCTCATGCCTCAGCTTGTAATTGACGATCCAGTGTACAAGAACGGACAGCATAACGCTGCAGCAGGAGCGTTTGCTCTCGCACGAGTGGTGGCAGCGCTTGAAAATGGCTACTTTGCCTTATGGTACCATCGCCCTACCCAGTTCACACCCACGCCGTTGTGTCAATTGTTGCACTGGTCGGGCCACCAGGCACGGGATGTAAGTACAGCCAAGCAGTAAGTTACGGGCTCGTTAGAGTTTACAGCATTCTTGCACCCTCTAATCAAAGAAATAGAGATCAGAGATAGAAATGCTGTTTCTAATTGCTTCCCATTACGCCGTAACGTGGGTATCTTTCTTTAGCTACTGATCTCCTCGGCGGCGAGACGCTGTTCCTCTAGAAGCTGTTGCTGGCGCTCAATTTCTTCGTAGTCGATGTTGGCCAGGATGTAGATGATGATCAGCGACACGACTGTCATCTTGAAGAGCTGACGAACATCCTTGAACGTTAGAGCACGCATCGAAGCCATGAAGATCTTGGGTGCAAACACGAGCAGACAGAACTGGTCCCATGCGAAGGCACCAAGCACTTCAAGAGTAAGCAGTCCAGTGAGGATACGCGTGAAGCGCGGGTCCGGCATGGGCACAATCTGCAGCACCTTGTTGAACATGGGCATCCGCTCCGTGCAGAGCAGGAAGACGCCGACGATACTGATGCCCAATGAGTACAACAGACCCGGGTTCTCCGTCATGGGCTTCATAAACGGTCGGCCCTTGTAGTTCACAGCACACACACTCACCGTCTGCACGCCGTTGATAAGGAAGATAACGGTACTCATGACGTTCGGCTGGAACTCACCAGGCTTCGAGTGCGCGACGTCACCTTCCGGTGTGTATTCCTTCGCCAGGTTCGTGAGGTAGATCATACAGCCCAAGTGCAGCGCGAACTGACCAGCAAGACTGACGAACAGCGCTGGCTGGAAAATGGACGTCAGCGGACGCACAGGAGACAGCTTGTCGAGTGGAGTGGCACGACTCAGTGTGATACTGGCAACGGTGGAGATCATACCGAGCGCCATCATCTGCGAGTTGGCCCACTTGACCTTGTCGAGATACAGCACAGACAGCGAATACGAGCTGATCAGACAGTTGACAGCCAGGATCTGATACATTTGCATTGTCGTCACAAGCGCACAGCGGCCCTGACGAATGATGTCGACACAGCCCTTGATAGATGGAGCACGCGAAGTGAAAGGCGAAGCGATCGACGCATCTCCAAGCTTCACCATCGGCACCTCGCCGTCGTCAAAGTCGTCCATGTACTGCGCCATAGCAGCGTTGTTGGCAAAGTTCGCAAAGCCCTTGGAGCCGGTGCGCTCCATCTGCAGTTTCTTCTTCTCTTCAGCCTCACGCTTGGCAAATGCAGCAATAGCCTTCATACGCGCAAACGATTCACCACGAGCCTGGCGCGCACGCACGTCGGCTTCGAGTTCTTCCTGCTTCCTCTTCATTTCAGCCATCTGCTCTTCTTTAGTGAGGACCTTGAGCTTCGGGTTCTTCTTAGCCAATGCCTGCTGCTTCTTCTTGATCGTCTCGATCGCTTTCTTCTTCTGCTCGCTCAGAATGAGCTCCACATAGTCCTGCTTCACCTTGCAATGCGCAGTATTCACATTCTGCTGCGCCAGAAGCTTCTTCAGTGCCGACACATGCAGCTTCATTAGGTCCTCCCGAGTGCTGACGGTAGCCACGTTTCCCTTCTGGTACTTCGCCAACCCAGTCACACTCTTGTCGGCATTCGCTGATCCGAATCCGCCCAACAGAGCCACACCAATGTGTGCCTGCTTTAAGGCACCCACATCGTTACCACCGTCACCACACATAAGGGTGTGGTGACCGTGCGTCTTTAGTAACGTCAGCACCTTCTCCTTAAGCTCCGGCGTCATGCGAGCGTACACACGAATGTGGTTGAGGTTCTTCCAGATCACATCGTCCACTTCTCCGGCAGCAACAAGAGTCTTGCCGTTCACACACAGGTCGTACTTCTTCACCAGGATCTTAATGTCACCACTTTTGTACGGCGCCAGCACCGAGTCATCGTCAGCGCTCGTCCATTTGAGAGGGTCACTAGGCGACGAACTCTCGCTTAGGATCAACGCTGGACGAGTGATAATGCCGACCTCCTTGGACACGTGCACAGCCGTCAGAGTAGCGTCTCCCGTGATCATCGAAACCTGGTGCGAGCTGTCCTTCAGCACCTTCAGGATATCACCGCTATCCTTACGAACGAGACACTGGAACACCGCAAAACCAGCGAAATGCAAGTCACTTTCAGCCCAGGAGCGAGGCTGCTGAGCCACTTCAGCCTCCGACGGACGACCGTTAATGTCCTTGTATGCGAGCGCAAGCACACGCATTCCACGACGTGCGAGGTTTTGGTACGTAGGCCAGAACCACGCCGGAATGGTCTCCGGACGCATCAGCTTCGCGACAGCCTCTGGACTTCCTTTCACCAGTGATCGCACACGCACTCCTTTGTCGCCCAAATGCACCTTGGCAATCACACTCATTCGCTGCAGCTTGGACGCAAAATGGTTGCGGTGCATGATCTGCACGAACACATCCTTCTGGTTGGTTCCCTGTCCCCAGCGACGCTCGCTCGCACGCTCGAGGTCCTTCTTCGCCTGACAATGACGAGTTGCAGCATCGTAGGAGAAGTCGATGGCTCGAATCGAAGCTTCTTCCACCGGATCACCGACCATTTTACCGTCAATCTGTACCAGCGACTGGCAACCAGCAAGGACCAACGTAGCGTCCAAGTTAGCTGCAATCATCGGTACATGACCGAGGACATTGTCTTTCGGAGCAGCAGGGGTGGGCGTCGTGGTGTCCTCGCACACGACACCAACGGCAGTGAGCTGGTCCGTAGTCAACGTGCCCGTCTTATCGAACAGACAAATGTCCACCTTGCCAGCCAGCGAGATACGGAACGGCTCGGTACAGAAGATCGACAACTTCACCAAGTTCAGCAGAGCCGAGTTCACCGCCATCGCTGTCTGCATCGGCAGTTCAGCTGGAATCACACTAGTGATAATAAGCACACAACGCAGAAGCAGCTCAAACGTGATCTTTCCCTTCTGCGCAATACCGTGGCGCAGCACATAGCCCGACGAGAGCAAAGCGAAAATTAGCAGCAAGAACGCAAGACCATAAGCATCCCACGAACTTCCCGTGACCTTGCCGCTCGAGAACTCGATCATGCGCACCAGTTTACCCTGCGAGGAGCTGAAACCCGTGCGTAGTACGTACGCAGTGCAGCCCTCATCAGGTGCATGAGGAATTTTCTGAATCGAAGTAGTTCCAGAGCCTTCACTTGATGAATCTGCCTGCATCACGGTAGTTCCGCCAAACAGCACGTGCACTTTGTGTCCAGACTTCATGTCAAGTTGCTCTGCAAGGTCTTCGGGGCTCATCTTCGTGCCAATAGCCTCCTTCATCTGTGGAACACTCTCGCCCGTCAACGTAGCCTCGTTCAGCACAGCAGAGCCGTCCAGCAACAAACAGTCACATGGCACCATGTTGTCATGATCACCGTCCGTCTCACGCTTCACTGAAATGACATCACCAGGCACCAGCAGGTCCGAGTCCAATTTCTTCCACGTCTTCTCGCGGTACACATAGATCTCACGTGCTTTGTTGCCCATACCACGCAATGTCTGAAGGTTCTTGAGACGACTCATAACAGTGACACCCTCGAACATGAGGATCATTCCGAGCGTGAACAGCGAGTACTGCCAGTACTCATCCAGCATATAGAGGCACACACTGAAGATCTGGAACACAGTAAGCGGCTCCAGTAACTGCTGCTTGAACATGTCGACGAAGTTAGGTTGAGGAATACTGAATTCGTTCTTGCCGTACAGATCCAGCTGGGCCTCGATCTCACGCTCAGAGCTCAGACCACGGGACTCCAGGTAGAACTTGACCACTTCAGTAGTCGGCGCCTTTAGCTTACGGAACAACACGCCACCCTTGTCACCTGCTTCTTCTTCAGCAACGTATTTGTGCTTCTGGAACAGGAAGTACGGGCGTCCAGCGGAAGATCCATCAGCGTGCTTGGAACGAATGATCTCGACGATGCTGCTCTTGCCCTTGAAGGAGCGTGGCACCACCATCACGAACGTCGCTTCGTCTAGAGAAGTCACGGGTGTGTACTTGATGAACGCCTTGACACGCACAGACCAGATCTGGAACAGCAGCATGAGGCCGTGGGTCATGACTGTGCCTAGTAGGTAGAGCAGAGGCACGATACCAGGCAGGAAAGGGTTGGGAAGCGGAGGCCCTTCCCTCTCCTGCTCCAACATGGCCGTGTAGTTGATCGTGGGGACGGCTGGTGCAGCCTCACGCACGCTTCCCTGGGACAACATCGCGGCGGCTAGGCCTCCGTCCTCCCCAGGGGTAGTGACGTCCACGGAGCCAGGGATGGTCAATCCTTGTTCCTCTAGCTCCTTCATGGCCTGAGCGTAAGGCTCGCCGGCAGTCAGGAAGCAATGATACAGTGAGTATGCGTAGAGGAACAGGAAGGGAATGTGCTCCAAGCCATAGCCTAGATTCATAGGATTCACACGACGTCTGTGCAGCGATAGCTTGCGGATGGACTTGCCCGTCCATTGCGGGGGCGCGTCGGGCTTCCCCATGGTTGGTTTTTCGCTCTTCTGGTAAGATAGGCAAAGCACACAGTGTGAGTGGATCAATTGACTTTGGTGGTTGGTTGCGAGGCGTCTACATCGGGTTGGGAGGTGACATTTGCTGATATAGAAGCCCCTACACGTAGGGAAGAGGCTGCTGCAGCTTGAAAAGTGAAATAATGGCTCTCCCACACATACCTAACGTTGACGGGCGACGCGCTTCACCTGCACTAGTCGAATGCGGAATGTGCGCATTTCACACGTGGCTAGCAACAAATGTCACTCCTCTGGATAATGACATTGATTCCCCTGATAAATCCGATATATTTTCGGCCAATCCGACGTGACGCGAACTTCAATGCATGTTGAACGTGACGTTCCGTGGGTTGCACCACCACAATCGATTCGATCGTCTTCGGGGCAGATGGAAGAAGTTCTCACTGCTGTCTTGGTCGTGTGTCGCTCGCATGAGCAGATTGAGGCGTTGGACCATGTGGCTCGGCTACTCTCGGCCTACATCGATACTTCCGCTAGGTGGACAGTGTTGCAGGCGGTCGAACGTGGCTTCCTGCACCTCGTACAGCGTCTTCTTCGAGCGGATACGGGTCACTATTTGGCCCGGCTGGCGGCGATTCGAAGATCTGTTCGAGTAGCAGCAGACGGAGGGCAAATGAAAATACTCTGCATGCTGACAGACTGGTATCCGCAGGCGGTTCTGGATGAGATAGCGGTTAAGCAAGCTGCGATGAACGGGCACTTGGATCTGCTCGAGTGGATGCACAACAGTATGAAAATGGTATGCAATGGTGTGGAGGACTTGTGTAAACTGCTGTACTCCTCCGATACAATTGCGTTGGCCGCTGGTGAAGGTCAATTGGAAGTTGTTAAGTGGCTTGTGCATGCGAGAGGGGGAGAATGCTCGGCTGCTCCACTGCACCAAGCGGCGAGGAATGGGCAGTTGGAAGTGGTAGAGTGGCTGTATGACCACTCCGGGTGCATTGTTCTACCTCGAGCGATGGATGAGGCTGCAGCTTGTGGGTATGTGGATGTAGTACGATTCTTGCATGAAAGAGGTGGACGGAACGGCGGCAAGAGTAAATGTACAACAATGGCCATGACAGGAGCTGCTGTTAACGGATACTTGGACGTCGTCAAGTGGCTCCATGAGAATAGGAGTGAAGGATGCACCACTGACGCCCTTGACGGCGCAGCACGTAATGGACACTTGGACGTAGTTCAGTGGTTGCATGAGAACAGGAGTGAAGGATGCTCGGCTCAAGCGATGAATGGCGCGGCAAGAGGAGGTCACCTAAGCATCGTGAAGTTTTTACATGAACATCGCAGTGAAGGCTGTACATATAACGCCATGGATTGGGCTGCTTTGGGGAACCATCTGGATATCGTGCAGTTCTTGCATGACAACCGCACCGAAGGCTGCTCTCGGCATGCAATCAATGAAGCGGCCAAACACGGTCATCTGAGCATGGTCCAATGGCTCCATTCGAATCGCTCGGAGGGGTGCAATAGAATGGCAATGGATGGTGCTGCTACTCTGTCTCACCTTGATGTGGTTAGTTTTCTGCATTCCCATCGACTCGAAGGGTGTACAGTCGCTGCAATGGACGGAGCTGCAGAGCATAATCGACAAGATATCGTGCAGTGGCTTCATGACAACCGGGACGAAGGATGTTCCGTGCGAGCGATGGACCGTGCTGCGAGGAATGGTCATTTACGAATGGTGCAATGGCTAAACGAACATCGTGCAGAAGGCTGCACTACCGACGCGATGGACGGCGCTGCTGAAGGGGGTCATCTGGGCATTGTCAAGTTCTTACACGCCAGTCGTAGAGAAGGAAGTACGACGTACGCAATGAACGCAGCGGCAAGGAATGGACATCTCGCTACTGTGAAGTGGCTGCATGAAAACCGTACAGAAGGATGTACGACAACAGCTTTGGATGGGGCGGCAGCGAATGGACATTTGGACGTGGTGCAATTTCTTCATAACAAACGCAGTGAAGGGTGCACAACGCGCGCGATGGACGCTGCTGCAGCTCGCGGCGATCTCGAAATGTTGGAGTGGCTTCGTAAATATCCTCGCGCAGAGTGCAGTGCACAAGCGTCTCTTTTTGCTGTTGCACATGACCACGTGGAAGTATTGCACTGGCTTCGAGAAAATTATGCTGGTGCATTAGCCAGTAAGGAAGATCTCTGCGGCACAGCCCAGTATTATGGTCGTGTGCACATTTTGGCGTATCTCCTGGACCAGTGGTTGCTTGGAGGTTAAGTGTCTTTATTTTTTTTAAGTGTATGGTGCAAATTTGTACAAGACTCACGAATATTTTTTTTTACATTAATGAGTTCAATCTACTACGATAAAAATGAAACATTTACGCAAAGGGAGCTAGAACTGCAGGGGCTCTAGGTCAGCGTGCGGTAGGGTCATGTCCACGCTGTCGAACATGGGGTCAGTGGCTAGCTGAAAGAGGAAATCCAAGTCCACGTCAATGAGTGGGGGCTGTACGACGCCGTCCGTGTACGGCTCGGGAAGCATACAGATGTTAGCTTCAACTTGCATCTCGCCAGTCGCACCAGCTGGCTGCATCACCATGGGCGACACCACCACCGACAGCACTTTACTAGTCTGCATCTCGGCCTGGTGCGCCTCGGTTGGTTTAACGTCGGGTGTAGCTGTACGACGCTGTAGTCGTTGTCTGTACTTTTGCGCATGCGTCATGACCTGGCGCGGTGTGCGAGTGACGATGTGCTGGGCAACGCGCTTCCACGGGCCGGATGGGTACAAATCCAGAGCCTCAAGGAACAAACCGTGCTCCTCGACTGTCCACGTGCCGAGCGCAATGGGTGAAGACGATGTTGGCGTCTTGGTCTGTCGTGGGGCAGCGTGGCGCATCTGGTCCATGCGGATCACTTGCAACCGGTTCGCCTTCTGGAAAAGCTGACGACGCGTTGACTCTGTGATGGTCATTGCTTGGCAGCGACGGTTGGTTAGCGATAGTGTTGGAAGCGTAGGCGCAGACGCGGCAAGTGACCGAACAGTTGAGCCGAGGCTGGAGCAGTGTGTCCGACCGAGCAAATTGCCGAATGACAAGCTTATCGAGTTCGCGCCTCAAGTCGGCTAGAGGGTGCGGAGCTACTCTGCTTGAAGTGGGATCGTCTCCGCATATAAGTTTTAGTATGCTATGCGAGCTCCAGGTGAATTTTCCGCCACGCGCGACTTGATATTCGGACACCGGAGCCCATTGTGTGTGAAGGTTTCTTTAGCGCCGGCTCTTGCGTCCGAACAATATGTCGCTTTCGAAGAAATGGCTCCAAAACGGCGGGACGTTCGCCATAAACGCTTTACACTTGCAGGCGATTTCCATTAACGCCGAAAAATGCCATCAACAGCTCCCGAACAATTGCGCAGTTCTAGCAATGCTGACAATAATGTAAAACAATGGTTGAAGTAACTCGAACGCGTTTTGACACATCTATTTCGGGCCGAAGTTAACGGGATCAGACTTTGTTCCTATTTGATCCGCTTTATTTCTCTGTATTTACTTCGACACTAGCAGCTCATATTCCCAGTCTTTTTGGCGCGTTCGCACTGAAATGGCCAATGTTGTGCGATCGGAAACGCATCGTCGTTCATCATCTCCAGCGCCGGCAAACGAATCTAGACGTGGTTGGAGCGAGGGGCGCCAACACGTGACTGGCAGTCTCAGTAACAATCACGTCACGTACGCCAAAACGTGGGCGGAAGATGTGCAAAATTACCACGTACGTGTGACTACACACTTGAATTTTGGTGATCGTTACGAGAAGGGATGCTGAATCGACTGTGATGATCGATTGTAGGCAGCAAAATCCGTTCTGCCGTGGCAACCGGAGCAGCAACAACCTGTCAAGTACGTGACGCGTTATGCAAAATCACGCGAGGAGCGAGAATACGATGCTGTTCTTGGGCGATTCCGGGACGAAGATAAAGAGTTGGGACTCCAGCAACGCGAGAGCATGGAGCTCAAGCGCAACCTCGAAAAAGGACGGGTATTGAATTGTATAGTTTTTTTCGTTGACGGAAGATTTTAGTACTCACTGCTACTTTGCTTTTATCTTCCAGGCGAAGCAGCTCCGAACGATTCAGCGCTTTCATATGATCAGCAACGAGCCAATGTACCCTGGAGCGAAAGACCCAACGGACAAGCAACCGGTGGCTCAGCCGTATCGGAAGAACAGTGCTGCTGACTATGACATCGTTACATACAACGGAACAAGTGCTTCTCCACCAACCACTCGTGGCTCACCTTCTCATAAACCTCGCCGGGAGTTCAACATCCTCACCAACAAGTACGCACGCATCCTGTATCGCGGTTGAATTTTTTGGAGCTAAGCTTTTTCCACTTGAACTTGTACTTGAACAGGTACCATGATCGCCACGACTCCCGGTTCAACCAAGAAACAGCAGAAGCCAAACGGATAGCAGCTCAAAAGTACTTCAAGACCCGTACATTCGACCCGATCCGCATCACGTTCGTGGACGAGGAACGTGAAAAGGAGTTTCTCCAACGCAGACAAGAGGAGCAGCAAATTCACGGTAAAGATCGAGTGCTAGTACTGCCTCCGCGCGAGCAGTTCTCTGAAGGTCGGGTCTACAACATCCTTAACCAGGAAGTCATCAACCCTGATAAGCTGGCCACCATAAACAACAAAGACCAGCGTACACTGAATAAGATTAAGAAGACGGCATTCGAAACGAGAATGCGCCAAGTCGGCGAGACCCAACAAGCTCGGGACACGGATCTACGGCTCAATCGCTTCGCCCACGAACGCCACACTGAAAGCCACGCTCATGGATATGACGTGCTCTCCAACCAGCCGTACGCGGGTCGAGATGCCAAGCATCTCGTTCATCCAAGAACACACGCAGCGTTGACACCGTGGCAAGCCATTGAGAGTGGCCTGCTAGTCAACAATCGAGTGGCTCCGAACTCACCGACACGCGCTAGGGCACCGTCAACTTCACAAACCAGTCGTGCCGTGCCAAAGCCGGACGTTCTCACAGTCGACAAGTCTCCTACTACACCTCAGGTACCGCCAGCCTTCAGCGTGGTCACCCATTGAGCCTTCATCTAAGATACTAACGGCTTGTTTCTCTGATTCTTTCTCTGCAGGGTTTGAGACAGTCTCCAACTACTTCAATGCAAGATCAGGTTCGAACTGGTGGGTTTGGAGCCTAATAGCTTGTGAAGAACGCAAGATGAAGGACTTGATAAGAGATAATTACTTAAGTATTCAGCTAGGATAAAATAAAAACCATTGTACACATACCTACGACGTCATGATTCAGGGTGTTTTGCTTGCTGTCCATGATCGAGACCTTACACCTTCAGTCCATGGAATCCCCAGACCTCGACAGTCTCAGCGCGGAAGCTTTGGTAGTCGACCAGAGGAGGTGAGTCGAATGTCGTACAGGCATGCGTGAATCCGCGTCGGTCGTCCAGCTGGAGACACAACGCAATGCCCTTGTTGCCACCGCCAACGAAGATGGCATCACGCTGTGTGTACATGAACGAGCTGTCAATGCCCGACCACATGTACGCGTTCATGTGCGGACTCAGAGAGAACACGAAAGTCCTCCCGTTGCCAAAGAACGCCTTCGAGCGCTTCCACGACGCCGGACAGAACGCACCGAAAATGTTGTCGTTCTCGTCCTGAATCACCAAGATTGTCGGTCCTTTGTTCTGAAGGCGATCGAAGAAGCTCAGGAAGCTCCAGCCGTGCACTCGAGTCGAGTAGATGAGCTCCATCTGATTGCACGTCAGATAATTGGGCAAGTTCTTCCACAGGAATTGCATGTGCTTCTCAGTCAGGAACGCCGACCTATGTCCGACTAATGGCCTCCCTCCATTCGGACCTTCACCTCCAGACCACAGTTTAAACTGATCCAGTGCTCCGATTTTCGCTGCGAAGGCTTTGAACTCTCTCAGTCGCTCTTCATTTTTGTTGACAGGGGTTGAAACTTTCTTCGGTGATAAGTCTGATGTTTCAGGCTCAATGAAGCTTTGCGAGACGAGTGTTCCTGGCTGAATGATTCTCTTGGGCTCGTGCTTAGGTGTTTTCTTCTTGTACTCAGGTGTCGGCGGGAACATGGCGCGTGCGATAGACTCGGACGAGAGCTCTTTCCTCTTCGTTTGGAAGAATGTTGCCAGGTATTTGCGGTACGCCACTGGACGGCGGAAACGTAGCGTGACTGGAGCTTGTAACTCGGTAATGGCGTCGATAACGTCGTCGGACGGGAGACGCGACATCGACGAGTAGCCATTGACTGCCATTATCACGTCCCCTACTTGTACTGTGGGTGCATGGTGTTTAGGATCGTACACTTCCACTGACCCATAGAGTCTCGTAGACGGTGCCAGCGATAGATGCAGCGGAGTCTCGTGGAATGTGACGTCAAACTCGCCCAGTTCGGACATACTGAGTCCCACTTCTTTCTCTTCTAGTCCACTTACAGCAGTGTCGATCTCCCGGATCTCCAACGCTCCAGCGATGCCAGCTGGGGGAGCTTCATGGATAGTATCCATGTCTTTGCTCACTAGCGCTTGGGCCAGTTGTCGAGACTTCTCGTTCTTTGCCTCCTTGGCATTGAGAGCCAAGTCGTGCTCCAGTGAACGTCGCCACTGCATGGACGACGCTCTAGCTACTACTTTACTGGAGTAGCCGTGGAGATGGTAGTCCACTGAGGCTGGATACATGGCGGTCGACATGGCTCGCGAGTCATAAGACCCGTAGATTTCCGGGTTTCTCAACGTCATGACGATGGGACACGAGCACTTGCGTAGGTAAGCAGCCAGTCTGGCACGCGGTAGCTGCGCCTTGCTGCAGCTAAAGTTGATGGCGATCAGCACGTCGCCCTTGGTGATGCCCATCTTGTCGATCGGCGCGTCGTCGCCCTCCGACTCTTGCACGGAGCTCACTTCCCATGAGCCGTAGAGCTGCGAGCTGGGCACGAGCCCCACGCCCAGCGGCTTGCGACGGAAACACACGTTGTATTCGCCCTCAAAGCTCTTGGGGACGTACATGGGCTCGCTCTCGGCGCCATTTACTAGCGACTGTGAGCGTAGGCGTTTGGCGTCGTCATCTCGCATTTTGCGTCGAGAACGAGGCGACGGTGTGGGCTGCCGCTGCTCGTCGAAGATGGCGCGCACGAGGCCGCGAATGCTAAACATTGTGGCGAAGCGAAGGATCTTCCAACAGATTGATGGTGCGTCTAGTCTTCTTTACGGAGACTTGAGCTTCCGGCTTCTTTTTTGGTAATGAGCGGACACGTTGCACCTGATAAATGACGTACGTGGAATTTGTGTCGCTTGAAGAACATAGAAGCAGCTAATTTATAGGTCCCAGGTGATAAAGCCAATCAATGAGAAGAGATTAATTAGACCTGGAGGAGTTTTGAGTCCATTTTCGGCAAACATTTGCGCGGTTTGCGCGAGATTGATGATGTCTGCGTGTGTATGCCTTGATTTACTCATCTCACGTCCCATCAACATGCATGGCAAGAATGAATGCAGGCGCTCGACATGGAAGGATGAGTTGTATTATCGGCGGTTAGTTAGTTAGCAGTGATCTCTACTGGAATAAATAAACTCTTTCATCGTCAACTGAGAAAATAATTTGACTTATCGAGTTTTTGAATTGGCATGAGGCGCATGGAGTGAAGCACGTACTCATTGAAACTCCGTTTATACACCATCTACAAAGGCAATTGACAACTACGGCAAGATGAAGTGTCCACAAAAATTAACGAGTTCACCATAACGCCGCTCTTCGGTCACCTCGTTATCGTGGTGTGTCTTATACGAATTAGGTGTCCGTACTATTTTTATTTTCCATGTTGAACATGGATTTGGCGGTGACGCGGGCGAGTTGGTGAGTTGCCAGAAAACAATTTGGTTTCAGTATGGCACCATAATCACGGCGCTTATTGATCCGATTTTCCGGTGTTCTTGATCATGTCGACGCTGACGTCTGCGCGCGTGGTTTGCCTGGCTCACCCGCGCATTGATGCGCTTTCCCACGTCCCGCAGCTCGTGTCCCAGTACCTGGACGTATCTACGCGTTGGTCACTGGCCCGCGCCGCTGAGCGGGGCTTCGTTCACCTTGTGCGACGTTTGTTAACCACTTTAAACACTTCCAACCTCAATGTAATGGCTGAAACCCGCGCTGCGATGCGGAGTGCAGCCGCGAACAACTATCTAGATATTCTGGAGATATTATCTACCCACTATCCCCACGCTGTGATCGATGAGACGATAATTATGCAGGCGGCCTCCAATGGCCATGGAGAAGTTCTCTGCTGGCTCCAACCACGTCTCCGTAAGCTTCTACCTTGTTATAAAGAATATGATTTTTACTCCCTAAAGAGCGTGGCTGCTGCTGTCGAGAATGGGCATTTGTCGGTGGTACAGTGGCTGTTGGACGCTAGGGGGACACAGGATACCGGTGACTTGACGGAGACGCATCTGCACCAAGCTACGGCTAGAGGAGGTCACCTGGGGGTTGTCAAGTGGCTACGGACACATGTGGAGGAGGATATTGAGTCTAGAGCTCTAGATGAAGCGGCGGCAGGAGGGTTCTTAGATGTGGTCGAGTTTTTACATAACGAGTGGAAGGAGGCGAAGCTTGAGAGCAACCGATGCAGTTGCCGAGCGACGTCGAGAGCGATGAACGGTGCCGCGAGTAATGGCCACTTGGAGGTGGTTAAATGGCTCCATGAGCACCGTGATGAAGGGTGTACGATGGACGCGATGAATAGAGCAGCTTGGAATGGCCATTTGGAAATAGTAAAATGGCTGCACGACCATCGAACTGAAGGATGCACACAGCAAGCGATGAACATGGCTGCGAAAGGAGGACACTTGGCGATTGTGCAGTTCCTTCATGAGAACTGTACTGAAGGCTGTACGTACAATGCGATGGACTGGGCAGCTCAGGAAAACCATCTTGATATTGTGAAATGGCTACATGTTAACCGTAGTGAAGGATGTTCACGTCTTACTATGAATGAAGTCGCGAAGCGTGGCCACTTTGAAATGCTTAAATGGCTACATGAGAATCGGACCGAGGGCTGTACTGTTGCAGCTATGAACGCTGCTGCGACCCACGGGCACTTCGATATTGTCCAATTCTTGCATGCCAATCGATCGGAGGGGTGTACCAATACAGCAATGGACGGAGCGGCAGAAAATAATCATCTAGCTATTGTCGAATGGCTTCATCGACATCGCAGTGAAGGATGTTCGAGACGCGCAATGGACTCCGCAGCTCGAAATGGTCATTTGGAAATGGTAAAGTGGCTACATTTGAATCGAAATGAAGGGTGCTCGACCAGTGCTATGGATGGAGCGGCCGAGTACGGTCACTTGGATATTGTCAAGTTCCTACACACAAACCGTACTGAAGGGTGTACTTACCGTGCAATGGACAAAGCTGCTGGTAATGGCCACCTTGAAGTGGTGCGGTGGCTACATAATAATCGTCAGGAAGGCTGCAGTTCGGACGCCATGGATGAAGCCGCCAAAAACGGTCATATGGCAGTCATGCGCTTCTTACAGGTACATCGTCAGGAAGGCTGCACAGTGCGTGCATTGAATGCAGCCGCTGCAAGAGGGGGCTTTGAAACGCTGGAGTGGCTTCGCGCAGAGAGCAGCCTAGAAATCGAGGAGCTGCCGATACACGCAGCTCTTGCGGCCATCTCGAGAGATCGTATTGAGATATTGCATTGGCTGCTCACACACTTGGTTGCCGACGGAGTACACGAATTGAGAATTCTGTACGATGCCGCACGGTACCATAATCGGTCGCATATCTTGGCATATCTCGACGGCTACTGGACGATTGACATGTAGAACAGACAGTTCGATGCGTATCCGTTCCCGATTCGGGAGTAAATCGTATTTGGGAATCCAGACAAGAAATTGGATAATTCCACAGGGATCACGGAAATCACTAGTGGCCATGCTTCAACACTTTGTTGTCCCTAGAGCATGCTGTCTCGTCGATGTCACGCATCTCGAGGAACGTCTAGTATATGGGTGCGGATTAATCCTGAGTGCCAAGAAGATGAATTCTAAGTGGATTGGCTGTAGCTGACAACTTGTTTGAGTTTAACGCTTCCACTAAACAGCAACTTCAACTCTTAGCTCCCAGAGATCGCCCAACGCAAATATCGAATCACTAAATGCGTGTGCTCACGAAAACAAGTCGATCCATCTTCTAAACAGGGGAGCTCGCAAATTGATGTGCAAAAGCAGATTGGTTGCCCAGTAACAACTCGAAAACTCCCCGTCTTAGTAGTTCATTCATATTTCCACTACTGTGTACTCGATTTTCTGGCTTATAAGATGCCCCGGCGACTAAACTTGGTACCAACACCCACTCAGAATCCCGCTTTTTGTGATGTAGCACTCACGATTCGGCCAAATCCACTCAGAATTAAGCTTTTTCCCTTGCTTCAGGTTTTGAGTGGTTGAAGATTGAGGATGTACAGATCTGCACCGAATGTGGCTGATGTTCAGATCCTGTGAGGTATACACCATGGCAACGAAGTATACTTCCTTGATCGCTGAGGTATCAGTAATTCAGCAACAAGTTCGACCACAGCAGATCCGATTCCAATTATAGTGAAATATACTACTAGTAACTGAAGACAGCGTCTCAAAAATAGCAGGATCGGCATCAAAAACATGGTTTGACAATACATCAAGTTCTCGCGATAAGACATCTATGATGGAGAAGACAAGGATGGAGTCGTTGCAGTGGCTGTAGAACTATTCTCGTTTGATCTGAAGTGAGTGTCACACTCTCAGTTCTTGTATTGATCGTCGAGTTTGAGATATCCCAGTCATCTATCACATGACCACCAGGAAGATCATTCCGTTGGATACCACAAGCGCGAAGATGACAGGACCGCAAGACGTTGCTCTAGGACAAAACTGTGGTGAAAGCCAGGAAAACCCAGAAGCCGTCGCAGACTTCCCAACGACAGAGCAACGTAGCTTTCGTGAAAGATTATCTGAAGCTCCAGTACCCCAGGATCCCAATCCTTCAGCACGCGTTAGCTTCGATGCGACTGCAACTGATAAGCCCGTTAGAAGGCGTTTATCAGTACGTCAACGAACCGCCTCGAGACTTGCTACAGCTGTGTCGATGCATTCGCTGATGGCGACGCCGTTAACTAAGGCAGAGCTGCTTGCGAAGCAGAATCGAGCGATTGCAAACATCAGAGTACCATCCAAGCAGATAACAAAACTCGAGAAGGTCACGTACGAAGTGGATCAGTACATTTCCACTCGCAGAGGGCAGATCTTTACTCTATCGGTTGTAGGATTAGTATTGATCGTGCTTGGTGGGATACTTCTCAAGACAGTGCAACCATCGAGAGAGTTTGGAGAGACTGTGTGGGATTCCTGGACATACATGGCAGACACAGGCTCTCATACGTCCCTAGCCCAGGATGTCCGTATACGTACTAGACTTTCGCGCTTCTAACTAAATTTTTCAGCTAACGCGTTTGTATTTATTACTGCACCAGGGTCTTCGAATTGTTGGGGTCCTGACGACGCTAGTGGGTATTCTCTACTTCTCCGTGGTCATGGGTTTCGTCGTTGATGGAATTCGGGATAAATTGGATACACTGAAGAAAGGCAAGTCCATCGTTGCTGAGGAGAAGCACACCGTACGTGAAAAGTTTCGAAGAGGATCATAAATATGCCGAAAGAGCTAACCTAGCGTTTGATATGTTAGCTTCTTCTCGGCTGGACAGAGAAGTCGGTGTCTTTGATTCGACAGATCTGTCTTGCGAACGCAAGTGAACGCGGCGGTGTCATTGTTGTGCTCGCTGAAAGGGATAAGGAAGAGTTAGAAGCCGAGCTCGAGTCTCAGATACGGAAAGAAGAGCTGCGAGGAACCCGCATTATCTTTCGCACGGGAACACCGCTACTATCGGTTGATCTACTGAAAGTTTCTGCACACCGAGCCAAGAGTATTATCATCATGGCAAACTCTACAGGTGATGCCGACCGATCTGACGCGGCGGTGCTTCGTACTGTTCTCAGTCTAAAGACTCTTCCTGAGGTATATACAAATGCTTATTATCAATGCAAAATAATTGGCTAAAGATTTTATCTGCTTGTGCAGCTGACAGGTCATATCGTAGCCGAGTTACGCGACATTGACAATGATCCGTTGGTTCGACTTGTTGGAGGCAAAGAAGTTGAGATCCTCGTATCACACGACATCATCGGTCGGCTGGTGCTCATGTCTGCTCGATCTCCTGGACTCGCTCGGGTTTATTCCTCTCTACTTGGCTTTGAAGGCAACGAGTTCTACTTTAAAGAGTGGCCCGAATGCATCGGCGTACCGTTTGGTGGTCTCACCGAGCGTTTCCCTAACGCGATACCGATTGGAATCAAACGTAAGAATGGTGAGGTATTCATCTGTCCGAATTCAGATTTAATTTTAGAAAAAGGCGACCAGATTTTGGTTCTAGCAGAAGATGACGACACGTACAAGGCATGTCCTCCAGTCTCGATTGAGGTGGGAAAAGTGCCACCACAACCCGTAAAATTACCTGCGAAAGAGCGTATTTTAATGTGTGGCTGGCGTCGAGACGTGCGAGATATGATCCAGTTACTTGACGCAGTTGTGGAGCCTGGCACTGAATTGCACATTATCTGCGAAGAACCAATTCATTTACGTAACAAACTGCTACTTGAAGGAGGGTTGACAGTGGAAAATTTGAAGAACATCAAGCTTGTTCATTATGTGGGGAACACCGCTATCCGCCGACAACTGGAGAAGCTTCCGTGGCACTCGTTCACATCGATCATGATTCTATCGGACCAATCTCGAGAATTGGATATCATGCACTCAGATTCGCATTCTTTGGCTTCTTTACTCCTCATCCGTGACTTACAAGCGCGTAGTTCCAGTCGGAATAGTGTCATCCAGGGCGCTCCTGGTTACTGCAAGTGCATCAGCGAAATCCTGGACCCTCGAACGCAACGTACGATCTCCACAAGTGCTACCATATTGACATTATCGGAGTTTATCCAGTCGAACGAACTGGTCAGTTGTATCCTCGCTATGATCTCTGAAAGCCGCGATGTTCGAGTGATTCTAGACGAATTATTAGGACCCCAAGGTGCCTTCTTCGAGGTAGAAGCTTCAGCTCGCTACTGTGAACCGAACGAGCAGGTTTCGTTTTGGCAATTAGCCAAACGCGCGATGGTTCAGGGGGATATTTTGTGTGGATATCAAGTTCGCGGTGCGGAAGAAACTGTACTGAACCCGGGAAATAAGTACCTTCCGCAGACTTGGGAGAATTTGGACATGATAGTGCTCCGAAATGAGGACGACGGCTTCGCTGCACACGAGTCTTCGTATGTACCAGTTGTGTCGGAAGACTTTGAGCGTACAACACGAAGTCGTCAGGTGAAGGCGACGTACTCTAGACAAAAGCTTCTGGATGCTATTGTGCAAGAGTCCGATCTGAACAGCTTTAGTGAGGCGGGCAGCGAGACGGATCGTGCTACTATTATGCGAGCGCTCTGCTCTTTCGATCTTGAACATGACGATGACGATCTCACAGTCTGCAGTGAGAGCAGTATGGAAGATGTTTTGTCGACACAACACCATCAAGTCAGTGTGCGTGCTCTGGTTGCAGCGGCACGGATTCTAGCCGACGCGTTGGAGAAAGCTGACGCAAACCAAGTAAAGAGTGTTTAAAAAGATTAAATATTTTTTTAAAAAAAGAAATTCTTAATAAGTGCGTACGAGCTATGTATGTTATAGCTTAGAAGACTCGGATGCGCTTCATCGTTTACATTCCTGACTAAAAAAGTGGTAATCGTCGCATCAATAGTCGCTTTTGGGCGCGTCTCCTCATCTTTCGGTTGCATGTAGTAATAGTCCTCCATTAATTAGGATATGAGCACGCAGAAGATCATCCCAGGCCTTGATGATGACATGGCCGAGGCACTACCAGGAGTTGAGATGACTCCACCTCTGGATCAACCTATTGCGTTTACAGGGGCAGTGACACCGAAGCCCATCCAACGAAGCAGATCATCGAGAAGTTCATTGACACCGAAGCTTCAGCCAAGCAGATCGCAAATGTTGGCAAGGATGCCGACGAGTAGAGCCGAGATGCTGGCCAAACAGAACCGAGCGATCGCGAAAATCAAAGCTCCGTCCAAGAAAATCTCAACGTCCGAGTGGATGGCATACAGAATCGACCAATACATTTCAACTAGGAGAGGACAAACAGCGTCACTGTCGATACTGGGACTGATGCTCATGACAATAGGCGGGTTCTTCTTAAAAGCAGTGGAACCATCGCATGCGTTGAGGGAAACAGTGTGGGAAGCGTGGACATATTTGGCGGATGCAGGCACGCATACAGCGTTAGTGGAAGAGGTATGAGCTTGTTTTGCCATTTTTTTTTTTTTTTGGTATTAAAGCCATAACTCACATCGATTGACTTGTTGATTGGTACAGGGCATGCGAGTAGTGGGCGTATTGATGAGTCTAATAGGTATCTTGTATTTCTCCGTGATCATGGGTTTCGTCGTCGACGGAATTCGAGCCAAGATGGATATGCTGAAAAAAGGCAAATCAAATGTTGCGGAACAGAATCACACAGTAAGTGGAGAAGTTTCTTGTCAACATTTTCCTTTAAACTCATCGTTGTTACCTGTGTTGTTTCCCGTCAGCTTCTTCTGGGATGGTCTGACAAATCGATTTCTCTGATTCGACAAATCTGTTTGGCCAATGCGAGTGAAAACGGTGGGGTTATCGTGGTCCTCGCTGAAATTGAAAAAGAAGAATTAGAATCCGAGTTAGAATCTCAGATGCGCAAAGAGGAACTTCGAGGAACACGCGTCATTTTCCGTACAGGTACACCATTGCTATCGGTAGACCTTCTGAAAGTTTCGGCCCATCGCGCAAGGAGTATCATTATCATGGCAATTTCATCAGGAGACGCAGATCGGTCTGATGCAGCTATACTGCGTACTGTCCTCAGCTTGAAGACTTTACCCGAGTTATCAGGGCACATTGTGGCTGAGTTACGCGACATCGACAATGACCCGCTACTACGACTCGTAGGTGGAAATGATGTTGAAATTCTGGTTTCGCACGATGTTATAGGCCGTCTAGTTCTCATGTCAGCTCGATCTCCTGGCCTTGCTCGAGTATATTCAGCTCTTCTGGGCTTTGAAGGCAACGAATTCTACTTCAAAGCGTGGCCCGAGTGCGTCGGTGTATTGTTTAGTGGTCTTGCTGAGCGTTTTCCAAACGCAACTCCATTAGGTATTAAGCGGAAAAGTGGCGAGGTATTTATTTGTCCACCAGCAGACTTGGCTGTCGAAGAAGGAGACGAAATTCTGGTTTTAGCCGAAGACGACGACACGTACAAGGCGTGTCCTCCAGTACCGATTGAGGTTGGGAAAGTGCCAGTGCCTCCGGCTAAAGTGTCTAGTCAAGAGCGGATTTTAATGTGCGGATGGCGTCGAGATATCCGAGATATGATCCAGCTACTCGATGCTGTTGTCCAGTCTGGAACAGAGCTACACATGATTTGTGAAGAACCCATTCAGTTGCGGAATAAAAGCCTGCTCGATAGTGGCTTGGACATTAACACCCTGACGAATCTGAGGATAGTTCATCACTTGGGCAACACGGCAATCCGAAGACAACTCGAAAAACTTCCTTGGAGCTCCTTCACGTCGATCATGATATTGTCGGATCAGTCTCGAGAAACTGATATTATGCATTCAGATTCACATTCATTGGCCTCTTTACTGCTGATTCGAGACTTACAAGGGCAAAGCTTGAAAATGACCAACGAGTCGGACGCTGTGCCCAATTACTGTAAGTGTATCAGCGAAATTCTGGATCCACGGACACAACGAACAATTTCGACAAGCGCGACGATACTCAAACTGTCAGAGTTTATTCAATCGAACGAACTCGTGAGTTGTATCCTGGCGATGATTTCTGAGAGTCGAGATGTACGAGTGATACTTGATGAGTTACTGGGACCTCAAGGGGCGTATTTCGAAGTAGAACCTTCGACTCGGTACTGTGAAGTATTCGAAAAAGTATCATTTTGGCAATTGGCCAAGCGGGCGATGACTCGAGGTGATATTTTGTGTGGTTATCAAGTTCGTGGTGCAGAAGAAACTGTGTTAAACCCGGAAGGCAAAGATCAGCCCAGACTATGGAGCAACACAGATGTAATCGTGATAAGAAATGCCAAGAACAATGTATTGCCGACTCGGAGATCTTCCCTCACTGTTGTGAATGCTGACGACTTTGAGCGCACCACCAAGAGCCGACAAGTGAAGGACCAGCTTTCTCGACAAAGGTTATTGTCTGCTATTATCCAAGACGCAGATCTTGTCAAACCTACGAAAGCTGGTGATGTCGAGCGTACAACCGTCATGAGAGCATTGTCCAGTTTCGCCGAAGATGACGACGATGGCTACGGTAGCCATTCCACACCGTTCGGGTTTTCTCTAAATCGACAAACCAACGTCCGTAGTCTTATCACTGCCGCAAGAATGCTGGCTGATGCGCTTGAACAGGCCGAAAACAGTCGCTCTATGGGCAACGAATCCTGCGAAGAGTTCGACGAGACCCTGTCCGAATTTGATTAAGGCATCTTGAACGTGGTGTAGCTTTTTTCAACTTAACATGGCTACATTCGTATTTACTATCATGTGATATACACTAAATAATGTACACCACTTAATCTCATTTGACTTGAGCTGAGTATGCTGGAATGTTCGAGAAAACTTCCGATCTGTGGCTTCGTCGGACAGCCCACATCCAAAGTGGAAATTTGACTGGGGCTCGCGGCGCCAGGGCAGGCGATAGATAGGTACACGCAGGGCAGGCACCATGACAGACGCAACCGCTGAGGAGTTTAAGGCGCAGGGTAACGAGCTGTACAAGCGCGGAGACTATCAGCGCGCTATCGAGAAGTACACGCAGGCTATCGACGCCGCCCCCACAGTCGTGGCCTACTACGGCAACCGTGCCGCCGCTTCCTTCATGCTGGGTAAGCACAAGGATGTGGTGACGGACTGCAACCGTGCCATTGTCTTCGATCCGCTCTATATCAAGGGCTACGTGCGTAAGGCTAAGGCTCAATTGGCTCTGGTAAGTAGATGGATACTGTGTCCATTGATTGTACGGTGTGAATTTTATACATGGCTACTTTTTCTGTTTTAGGGTGACAATGACGCCGCCATGAAGACGTACCAGACAGGTCTGGTGCGCGATCCGAACAACGCCACGCTGCTGAACGAGAAGCGCACACTTGAGATGGCGTTGGACAAGCTGCAGCGCGGCAAGGAGCACATCGCAGCGGTACGAACACATGGCTACATTGCAATGTTATATAACAAAAGATGGCTAACTTTATTATAATTTTATTATTTATCGAACAGGGTCGATTCTCGCAGGCTGTGAATGTGCTGGACGGCGCGGCGCAGGTGTGCACGGGCTCCAGTCAGATCAAACTGCTGCGTGGCGAGGCGCTAATTGGCTGCGAGCGGTACGACGAGGCCTTCGCCGTGCTGACGCAGCTCATGCGCACAGACTCGAGCAGCCCCGAGCTCTTGTACCTGCGTGCGCGTTGTCTGTACTACCAGGGCGAGTTCCCTAGCGCCATTAAGCACTTGCAACAAGCTCTACGTTCAGACCCGGACAACTCCAAGTGTATGAAGGAGATTAAGCGTATCCGGCACCTGGAGACCAGCAAGGAAGAAGCCAACAACGCCTTCAAGGCTGGAAAAATGGCCGAAGCAGTCGAGATGTACACAGAATGCCTCAAGATCGACCCGCAGAACAAGGCCTTTAACTCGAAAATCCACTGTAACCGAGCCAACGCGCTGTCCCGTCTGAACAGACATGAGGAGGCTATTAAGGACTGTGACAAGGCCATCTACTACGATCATGGGTACGCCAAGGCGTATCTCCGGAAGGCTGCGTGTCTGAAGGCTCTGGGCGGTCTTGAGAACTTGGAGCAGGCGCTGCGCGTGTACGACCAAGCTTCGAAACTGGTAGGCGACGACGCCCAGCGTGACATCCAGAGCAACATCCGACAGACCAAACTGGACATCAAGAAGGCCAAGCGCAAGGACTATTACAAGATTTTGAATGTCTCCCAAAGTGCCACTGAGGCCGAGATCAAGAAGGCGTACAAGAGGCTGGCGCTCAAGTTCCACCCGGATCGTCACGCTGGCAAGTCGGAGGAACAGAAGGCCGAGGCGGAGGCTGCCTTTAAGGACATTGGCGAGGCGTACGCGGTGCTGTCGGACGCTCAGAAGCGACAGCGCTACGACTCCGGAGTGGATCTCGAGGACCTCGACAGTGACTTTGGAGGCGGTGGCATGGGCGGCGGCATGGGTGGTGTGGACCCTTCGCAGATTTTCCAGGTACGTTGAACGGAGCTTCTGGACGTATTTTTTTTCCAAGTGTTTCTAACGTGTTATGTGTGTTATGAATATTGCAGATGTTCTTCGGCGGTGGCGGCGGCATGGGCGGCATGGGTGGCATGGGAGGAATGGGTGGAATGGGAGGTATGGGCGGCATGGGAGGCATGGGTGGCCAGCGATACCACTTTGGTTAGAGTACTTGCTAGTTCCGAGAGTGTAATGATCGGATACATACAACAGACGAGAGGTTTAAGACGGTTCGTAGCCGTCATTTGACGATAATAATGGTTCGTGTATGCACACAGTCTGCTTGTTTCCTCTTCAATACGGTAAAGTCAAAACAACGGCTTCAACGTGCAGCATTTTGCACGCTTTTTATTGTGTGGTGCACATTCTTGACGTGTTTTTAACCCGTACCTCTCATCCAGTCGTTCGTAACCTGGCAGATTGAGACCGTAACCTGATAACCATTCCCCAATCATGGCAGGCGCAACGACCCCAGCGACCGACTCGCAGAAGCGTCTGCGTACCAATGAAGCTGGTGAATCCGCTGATGCTATCGAATCGCAATTAGTCAATGAGTACAAGGGATACAAGGTACCCGAAGACAACTTCACCATTGAGCGCATTCCAGTTGACAGCGTGACACCTGAAGAATTCTTCGCTAAATACGTGTGTACTCGGACTCCAGTGGTGCTGACTGGATTTCTACGAGACGAGGAGTTTACTGCACCAAACAAATGGTCGAGTTCGAACGACCGCCTCATTGAACTTGCACGTGACACGAAGCTGACGGTGGAGCGTCGTGGAGATGTTAACGAGAAGTTTGGGAAGGGAATTGCAGTCGAAATGCCGTTCCGTGACCTTCTTAAGCTCATTGCATCTGGTGACGAGATGCACTACTTGACGACGCAGGAGGTGGCGTTCGAAGAGGACGGGCGACCGGAGGTTATGGCTCCATTCATGAAGAAGCTTCAAAAGGACTTCCCGATGCGTCCCAAGCTCATGGGCCACCTAATCCCGCAAAATATCAACATGTGGATGGGAAACAACAAGCACGGATCTTCATCAGGACTGCATCATGATCACCACGACAATCTGTACATTTTGATGCGAGGCAAGAAGCGCTTCCGGTTGTATTCCCCTGGAGACGCTGACAAGATGTATGTGCGTGGACGGATGTCACACGTGCATCCGAATGGACTGATCAACTATGTAGGCAAGGAGACGACCCCCTACGGTGCTGATCCAGCGGCTGAGCGTGAGGCGCTTGCAGCTATTAAGAGGAATGAAGCCGAACGTGAGTTGGCTGAAGCGGAGCAAGCAGTGGAGGCTGGAGAAACGGGAGCAGAAGCGCGTCTTGAAGCGGCTGAGGAGCAGTTGGAAAAAGCCATGTTCGATGTGCTGCGTGCCGATAACAGTGAAGATGAAGGTGGCGAGGAGTTTGAGGACGGCGCGTTCCATTTTGAAGAGAGTGAGGCGGAAGGGGATGATGAGAGTGAGGCGGGAGAGCTGGATGAACTCGCGTTAGATCCTGAGGAGGAACAGCAGAGTAAAAAGGCTGCTAAACGTGATGCTGGTGAGGCGGAGGTCACGTACCCTGTGAGTTTCAGTCAAGTGGACACGTTCCGATTGCGCGATGGGGAACAGGCACAGCGAGAACTGTACCAAGAGTTCCCCAAGTTTAGTGAAGCTAAGGCAGCTTTTTGCGACTTAGAGGCAGGTGAAATGCTTTTCCTTCCTGCTTCGTGGTTCCACGAGGTGGAGTCGTTTGGCTCTACTCAAGGCAATGGCCACTTGGCATTGAACTACTGGTTCCAGCCACCAGACCAACTCACACCCGAACACTTTACGTCGCCGTATTCATCGCCCTTCTGGCAGCGTGACTGGGATCAGCGTTTTGCAACCATAGAAGAAAACTAAATAAAACCGGATGATGTTATACGCTTCCATTACTTGGAGCTTCTTGGTCTCCTGCGCACATCAGATAATCTGAACGAATCTTGTGTTTATCTGGAAGAAATGTTGCCGTGGAACTTAAAAAATATCCGTTGAAGTGGGTTCAGTTGGTACATTGTACCACTTTGTATGCATTTTTCCAGCATGTAGCCATCAAGGGTGACGTGATCCTATTCACTCCCCAATAATCCGACTTGGAGACCGACGTCATGAAGCACTTCAATGAATACACTTGGGTCCAGGCGCGAAAAGGAAAATGGATAAAAGTGAAGCAACCATCGTTGAGCGAGATCCTCGAAGCTTTGGAGACGATGACTCAACCACTGTCATCCCCAACCGATACGACTGGGGCTGCATCATTCTGGACGTTTGAAGAGCATGAGAGATTCGTGCAGGGCCTGCGGTTGCATCCCGATGGATCCTATGAACAGATCGCGGACCATATTGGGACCAAATACGTCAGTGAGGTGGTAAATTACGCGATGGAATGCTGGAAGTCATGCAAGTACCAGCAAATTACTCCTGTGAAGAAACATCGAGTCAGGAAGTGGTTGAAAGCGTCGCTGAAATGGTGTGTTGAAGCCCTGTCATTTCATTGCCTGCGACGCCAGGAACGCACCACATATACTGCAGCAGATTACTCCCCAGAGCTGGGCAGTGTATCTTTCCCCGCCAGTGTAGAAGCTAATCGCGAAAACAAAGCACCAACGCAAGCATCGACACCGGAGCCTGTTTACAGCGATATCAACATTGAAGCCGCTGTGTATTCTATGGGAGCTGCATTTCTTAGGCGTGACCAAACAGACAGCGAGCTTGAAGTAGACTCTAATGCTAAATTCTTCGGTTATGCACCCCCATCCAAGAAGGGTTCACTTTTTAAAAAGAGAATCGGATCGATACAACTATTTGAGAGAAGAGGTGTGGTCACAAGGGATGCATCGACACTGGAAACGAGTCCTGAAACGCTGAAGAAGCAGGGTCCATGGAGTAGCGACGAGCACCAGCGATACTGTGAGGGACTGGAAAACTATCGTTACGGATCATGGAAGCTCATTGCGGATCATGTCGGAACGAGAACAGAGCGACAAGTGATGAGCCATGCACAGAGTATACGAGCAAAGAGAAAACGTGCCGAAGACCGCGAGAAGCATGGCCAGCAAGGACATATATCTTCGAAGCTGCCGGCATCACGCAAAAATGCGAGGACGAGGACGTCTACTGTAAGCACTCCAACTGCGATAGGTTATTCGAATACGCAGGTAACACTACTGGAGGTTCTTCTTGCTTCATTGGATAATCCGTATCTTGAGGCCAGCAACTCGAGTCCGACCAACGAAGCTTCCTCGACAACTACGGTTGGTTATTCTGACGCCGTAGCAGACGATTTGTCGCCTACGCTCGCAGGTGTTCTTAGTTTTGAGCTGTCTACCGACCAATGCGAGCTACCTGGTATTATCGAGCGAAACCAGGATGACCATTATCAGGTGCCACTGATAAGTGAGGGTTGTCTAGACATTTTGGTGGAGAATGTTGTCTGTGATGAGGAGTTGTTTGAGCTTCTTGACAATACATCGGTGCTATCGGAAGTTCCAAATGCAACGTAGCATAATTGTCGGATCAACACAGTCCTAGTGATATTTAGTACTGCGAAGTATCTTGCTATCATGCGTCACTTTAACTTGGAGACCAAAAAACCTTTTCTAGGTCAGATAAAATGTCGAGTTCTTAATGAACTAACATTTTCTTCTAACCGTTAACTTGCTCACGCATCCACCCTCACCGCGACACACAAGAATTGCATTTGAGACGCGCCAATTCGATGTTCATCCTGGTGTCGTTACGACCAGGACGTACTACAGTTGATTGCTGTACATATTCAACGCAGTCGACCATTATATCATCAGCTATTATTTGTGAAAAAGTTGCGGTATTACTGTCGCCTTGGTAGGATTTCAGACTAGGGCGTTAGTTGCAGTCGTGAGTTTTATTTGTTATCAGAGTTGCACCAATATTTTCGTTTCAATGACTCGATTACTTGCAACTTGTACGCTGTACAAGAAGGATTGCCTGTATAGGCGGCGCCTACTAAGCGCTGACGACCCGTTTTAAGTTCTCTACGCTCACAACTAGAGACCTAAGCCTTTTGTTCTTTACGCGACGAAATCTCGTTCAACATGCTCGCCAGCAATTGCTCCGTGAAACTTTTCGGGTTAGTTGACGCGTTTTTCGCTATTCCATCGCGCACTTCGGCACTGTTTACAGTCACGACAGCGTCTTGAGCACTTCCGCTGCCGTCAAATTCAATGGTTCCGTCAATGCTGTCAAAGATGCGACGCAGCTTTGAAAAATCGGATGCGGAAAGTCCAGTGTTGTTCGGGCACCCCAGTAGGCGCTGAATGCACTTGTTATAATGCACCACACCGTCCTTATCCTTGACTGGTTCGTAGTCAAGATGGCATTTCTTGGGACAAGAGTTAGTCACTGATGGCTCAGCTTGGGTCGCGTCAGAGAAGTCGTACTGCTTCGTGTCGCTCACAGAGTAGGAGTCAGACCCACGAAGATACTCCGGGTTGCCAGCCTCCACAGCAGCGACGACAATGGCTAGAACAGAGAGAAGATTCAGAAGCTTCATCTTGGAGTGGAGTGAAGGGAAGAGTCTGTCGAAACTTGTAGAATGAAGAATGACAAGTTGGCCGTGTTGGCCAGGTATCTATTTGGAAGATACCCCTCTATAGTAAGTACAGGTGTAAGTGCAAGTGTATTTTCTACGATTCATGTTGCATGCACGCTTTTCGTGTTTACGATGTTGAAGAAAATATCAAAGAGCCTGCGACACGATAACACGTCCCAAAGCTGGTCGCGCTGCGGACTGTTGACTATGTGGAGAGCAGAACATATACTTTTTTAATAAGTTATTTAAGTATAATAGCTATACTAGCTTTGAAATCTTCATAAAGTATGATTTTCAAGTAGTACCCCCTCCCCCCCCTCACCAAGGAAATGCACCACAGTGTTGCAGATTATGCAGTGCCACTGTTGATGCGGCAGATCGCTGTTGATGTGGCAGATTACTGTTGATACGGCCGATTGCAATTGAGCGATGCTATTGCTGCTGTCGATTGCACAGTACCAATTAGGGGCTAACTGAGGAATTAAAAATCTATCAATGTTTGAGCTAGCCCCTTAGAGCATCTCCAGATGTTGGACTTGTTTTCAGCTCTTTACATGTCGCTTAAGACCTCCAGTTTTAAGATAAGTCTGCGTCGAGAAGGGTAACTTCCACCAGGAGGAACTTACCAGAGTCTTAGCTAATTGAAAACATGTAAAACGCACGCCCTTGCGCTACTGTCGTCTCCTAATCTTATCGTACACCCCACAG